GACCAAAGCTTGCTTGTATGAGCTAGGAAATGTGCCTGACGTCAGCGAAGCATTGATCACATGCGTGACTGCTGCAGTAACTGTAGGAGCTATGGACTGGAGTAAGTTTGTAGGAACTGGGTCCAGCAAGCATGTAGTAGGATGGCTACATGTGAGAAGTTTGGACACATTGCTCTCAGTGAGAGAGGACTTCTGCTTGTATATGTACTGTGAGAAGTTTCAGGTGCAGGCCGTTCAGTAAACTGTTTGCTTAAAGCTGCCACTTTGTCAGTAAAAAATTAGGCGGACGTGTCTGCCGTTAAGCTAGTAGCAGGAGGCGCAGGAGGAGGGTTAAGCAGAGTTTTGAAGATGGAGAATAATTTTCGACTATCAGTTGTACTGTGAATCTTATCAGTATAGAAAGTATTTTTTGCATCAGTGATGCTTAAAGAGAATGCAGACAGCAATGCCTGAAATTTTGTTAGATCATCTGGATTTTTTTATTTGTGCCATTTAATCCACCTCACAGCAACAGATGGTCGCATTCCCCCACAGACCCAGATAATAGTGTTTAATTTGATCCAGATCAGGAGTATTTTTTTCTATATATCAACCCTCATTTGAATGCTATTTTACAACTAAATCTCAGGCCGTCATCAGTTCAGAAAAATAGACTAATAGTCCTGGTTATAGTGTATGAGGTTGAATGGGTTAAAATAATTGCTTTAAGATGGAAGAAAACTGACTGGAGATTACAGCAAATGCATAAACAACTGGCTTTATTGTCATTGGTCGGTTTTGAAACAGGTTCTCGATGACTCATTTTGACATTCAGCAATCGTAAAACTAAAATAAGCCATGCCCATAAATTTCTGAGTCCTCTGTGTTCGCGGAGTGACCAAGACCATGGAGGATGAAGTAGTTTTATAAGAACAGTCCACAAAGCTGAAACCACTCACTGTGAATTACCAACGATGTGGTGAGTGTTCAAAGGTGGTTCATAGTTTGACTTTGCTGTCTTTTCTCCGATTTACTCAGTGTTT